GATAGAGAATGTGAGACAGCAGTGCATCGGGACAACCTTTGTCCCAGGGAATGAGTGAGTTCAGAAACGGGAGCTAAGGATGAAGGTGCCCAGATGCGCTGGCACGAGATGGAGAGACGGTACAGCCCCGGTTTTTGCTTTATATTTCTGTTCAAGAAAGGACGCACCATCCCACCCCAAACACAACATCGAAAATGACGAGCGTGATGTGCCATCATGCACTCCGGCGCTAGCATGAGACTCCCGCCGACGCTGTGTGAAGTAGTCGACTGGTTGCCGAGTTGGCTTCCGGACAGAAGGGTCGGAATGCAGCAGGCAAATTGAGCAATTCATGTCTACAAGCTCGAATTAGAATAACAAGGCGCGCCAGCCCGTCAATCGCAAAGCCCGAAGAGCTTCGCATCACGAAGATAGGATCCTGACCTTTTCCGAGTCTCTCCAGCGGCCGGATTATATCACTGATGTATTGGACACGCAGACTGTGCTCAGGCGAATTCGAAGGACCGATTCACTTTACATTGTCACTTTGCAATGAAGAAGTGCGCATGTAGCCATCTGTAGCCACTGCCTGTTCGACATGTAGTTATGAATCCTGGGATGGCCTCGAGTAGATGATATAATACGGTGGGCGGTCTCAGTAGTGTCGTAACCGCAGTGGAGCTGCCACTGCCACACTTGTTTCGACTCGTGGATATTGGGCTGTAGCGCCAGCAATTTATATCAGTGTTCGCAAGAATGAAAAACTCGGGACCTAGCATTGTCCTGCAGTGATACGCTGAGATCGTGCCCTCATATTAACCGTGGCGCTCCACAGGCTCTAACACCCTCCGGCGATCATGCATCATGTTTTCGTTTGAGCATGTGCACCCACTCCAAGCTGTCGTCGAGACCGTTGCGCAGGCGCCCAATTGCACAAGGTGCTCACCTTTGATGAGCAGCCTCAGCTTGTTGTTGCCTCACATAATTCCTTACACAAGTAGAGAGACAGTGACGCTCTCAGTTGGAGAATGATTCCGTTGTCCCAGGACGGTGTGAGTGACTTGACGAAAAATAAAGAGCCAGCGAGAAAGTAATGCGTGAAAGATGAGCCAGTGTATTTCAGGAAACGACATGAATATGGTCACCGAGAGATACGCGCGATACCTGGCAGAACATTACAACGAGGTAAGTAAGGGACCTTGACCGATGGAAGTCGCGATCATCTCCTCGGCACCTCCCGAAAGCACGACGCGTAAGGCAGACGCGTCAACGCACGCCTGCACGGTGTACACCTACTCCCAACCTCTCTCTTTGTAAATCATGGTGCGTACTCTCTTGTTTTGTCTATACTATTGGCTGAGTAACATCTAGGCCAGACGTTACGACAGTTAGTTTGAACAGAATTTATTCAATGACTACGCTGACTCTGAATTCCTCTCGCAGGCCGTACGACCATCTTCTCGCCAGAAGGTCAGCTTATTCTCCTTGACCTTCCCAATAATGCTGATCTCCAATGATGAGAACAGGGCGACTTTACCAAAGTAAGTTGTGCTTGTACCCGCGCGCGCTGCCTCTCAAGCGTTATTTATGAAGTCGAGTATGCTATGGAGGCGATCTCTCATGCGGGGACCGTCCTTGGCGTGCTAGCAAAGGATGGTGTAGTGCTCGCAGCAGAGAAGAAAGTTACGGGAAAGCTGCTCGATCTAAGTGGTGTCAAAGAAGGCGGGTACGGCGGTAGTGGAGAGAAGATCTTCTTGCTCAATTCGTGCGTGTATCTGTGTCCTCGTGGTATCCGAGCTTAACACTTCTGCATATTACAGAAATGTAGTAACTGGTGTTGCGGGGATCACTGCGGATGCTAACTCACTAGTCAACTATGCACGCCAAGCAGCGCAAAAACATCTTTTCGCCTACAACGAGGACATCCCAGTTGAGCTTCTTGCCCAACGACTATGTGATCTCAAGCAGGGTTATACTCAATATGGGGGTACGTCCCTTGTACTTTCTCGAGTTTCCTGTACTCAATCCCTCATCAGGACTGCGTCCGTTTGGTGTTTCTCTCTTGTATGCCGGCTACGACGTGCATTACGACTTCCAACTCTATCACTCCGACCCATCCGGTAACTACTCCGGCTGGAAAGCCACATCTATAGGTGCCAACAACGGCACCGCGCAGAGTTTGTTGAAGCAAGAGTACAAAGATGATATGGGTGTGGAGGAGGCTATCGGCCTTGTGCTCCGGGTGATGAGCAAAACAATGGATAGTACGACACTGGGGAGCGAGAAGCGTATGTAACCTTTGCCCTTGCGCTTCTTGGCCCCGATGTAAACTGATATTTGCTCCGTCACAGTGGAATTTGCGACTCTTACGCTCGACCCCACCACGAAACAGCCAAAGGCAAGAATTTACAAGCCCGCGGAGGTCGATGCGCTGTTGGTAGAACAGGGTTTAGCAAAGAAGGACGAGGACTCCGAGATGCGAGCTGTATAACAGAACACTTAATGGATATGGTTATTGTACACGATGTGGACATTGTCTTCCCCACGAATCTGGGGATGGTGACCAGTGAGAAAAGGAGCATTTATCAATTTCTGTCCATGGACGTTTGCAATGAGGGAACATTAACCAAGACGCTCGCGTCCCCATGCGGAAGGTCGTGTCAGTGAGAATATTTACACCAAAGCGTTCAAGTAGCCCCCCACATCGCTGCGGAACACCTCTCAAACTCGCTTCCCCTCACACTCAAGCCCCTCGCAAGCCATGTCTCACGGCGACCACAGCGGACACGACATGCCCGACATGCCAATGCCTATGTGCTCCATGAACATGCTGTGGAACACCCAGATCGAGGACACCTGCATCGTCTTCCCCGGCTGGCATATTCAGACGAAGACTGCCTTCGTGTTCTCCTTTTTCGCCGTCATGGCCCTCGGCATTCTGTACGAGTGGCTGCGTGTCGCGCAGCGTGACGTCGACCGCATCATCGCTCGCCGGCTGATCGCAGACGGCAAGGGCAAGACTCGGCTGCCTAGGAGTGGGAGGGCGACCCCTGAGAGCGACTCGGAGGGCGCGGGGCTGTTGAGCGGGGTATCAGTGTTAAAGAGCCAGCCTGGGTGAGTCTGAGTCTAATAGATAGAGCGTTGTGGAGATGTGCGTCCTGACTTTCGTCTAGCACACCCCTTCCTCTTTCTGCCCGCGTGGCTAGGGCCGTGATGTATGGTCTGACGGTGTTCCTGTCGTTTTTCCTCATGCTGGTGTTCATGACATACAATGTGCGTGTCGACATCGTTGCACCCCTCGGGTGTCTAACGATCATTTTCCTTACAGGCTTATTTGATCCTCGCTGTTGTTGTGGGGGCAGCTGCCGGACACTTCATCTTTGGCTCTCGTATGGATCTTAACAGCGCATTGTCCGGCGCTGTAGATGGTCGAGGGATGGCTTGTCATTGAGCTCATTGTTAGTCGATTCTACTTTCGTGTTCCGCTATGCAACTCTTGTTATCACCATGTACGTCTACTTCGCTGTGCGAGCTCGAGTTGTCGTGTACGTTTCAGATTAAATTCTGCAGAGACTTTACCCAGTTGAATATTCATATATCATAATAAGGGGGCGCATTTGAGAATGACTCATTCTTGCCTTCAAGTTGCTGCTAATAATTAAGAAGTAACATTAACATCGCGGGAAATTATATGTATAGGTTCCCTGTGAACGAGCGCATTTCGAACTTGCACCTGGACCTTGTCGGTGTGAAACGCATACTGCAAACCACACATTAATCATCCTCCAAGAGTCGAACATTTCCTCTGAATACTACATGTCCTTTCCTCTGGAATAATGGAGGCACTCGCGGAGAGATACGTCTCTTTCGGTGCTTCCGAGGGGAGCTACTGCTCTTATATGCAGACTCAGGGCCAGAGTCTAGTTGCGGGTTCAGGGCATCCGCTTGCATAGCCTCGTCGTCCGCTTGCGGAGGAGCTGGAGGAAAATCAGGTGCCGACGACTGTCCTCTGGGTGGCTTGTCAGCATCGAGGATAGGCGGTGCGGGTATGCGCCGTGTGGTGCCGCACGTAACACATGTATATGCTATACTATGTCCGTGTGTTGAGGATGCTGAGTTGACGACCCGTCCGAGTGAATAATTTCATGTGTGCAGGTGACGAACGATGTACACTCACGTTTAGTGCGTACCGACGCCGTCGACCCAGGCATCAAGATGGTATTGCATTTCTTACAGAGGGTCCGTTTCACATTTGGATCCCTAACATGCGAACTCAGATACCACGAGCTGCTGCAGGCGAATGAACGACGTACATTCTCACAGTGGCCTTCTGGCTGATGATCTTCATCGACCGTACATAAGCCCTCGCTAATTCCGTTGTCTGCGCAGGGTGCCTCGCCTTCCTGCGCCTTTCTCGTTTCTGCTCTTTCGATAGTTCAATGACCTTGTCATTGCTTGGTTTGCCGGAGGGAGACGGGGCTATTGTGTGGAGATATGCACTGGCCTGATAGAGGAAGTTGAGGCGTTGGAGGATGTCTCTGTTTGTGACGCTGTTGAGGTTGGCCTGAGGCTCTTGATCCTTGTTCTTCTTTGCCATTGGGTTAAGATAGAAGAATAGATACAGGCTGAATGTGGCTACCATCCCAGTGTTATCTGCCCCCTGGCACCCGCTTCGCACTTGTTACCGCACACCACCGTCGCAGACTGTTCGCCGCCATCGCCTACTTGGCCCTCATCGCCGCTTATCTGGCTCATGGTCATGGTCGCAGTGCACTGTCCATCTCTCGCTCCCTAGCGCCCCACCAGCTCTGCGCAGATAACAAGGCCGCGAAGCACCGGGCTCACTTTCAAGTTGGCGTACTCCTTTATCTCTTACGCGGCGATGCTAGCCCTCACGCCTGCGTATTCCCGCCGGCCATTGTATCCGTCGGTGCGCGCTGTTCCAGTATCATCCAGGATAACGCCGAACGTGTAGACACATTTTCTCTCCCGGTATTCGACCAATTTCGCTCATGAAGTTCTCATACACGAAAATTTGCCCCAACATTGCTTGGGAGAAATCGCAGGACTGCCCATCCATACAGTTTGTCTCGCGAAGTGACCGAAGTTCTCCTTATTGCAAACGGAAATACCTTAGTTTCTGGGCTTGGATTTCATTTTCCGAGCGCTACCAGCGGTCTGACAAGATCACCGATATGTCACTGGGAGCTCACTGCATCGATCGAGCCCATATGCTTGCTGCTATAATAGTAAGTACAACATTCAATTCCACACCTTGTTCGGGTCATCACTTTTGATAATCCATTCCTGCAGACTATTCTTGTCGGCGTGGTACTGCAACGCGGTTGATCCACCAGGTTGTTAATATGCAGTTCGTAGATAATAGGGACCTTGAGTGTGCAACGTTCACAAAAGCTACGGTTATGCTATTCATATTCATTGGCACGCGATCATCGCGACGGCACGCGCTCATCTGGCTGTGGTACGTCTGCTGTTGTTCTGAATTAGCCGAAAAATTCTTACGGCATTATAGCGGTCGCTATAAGTAGTCCGCTCCTTCACTTCTGTCCCAGATCCTCCTACAGACGACCTTGGTTGTGAACATGCGTCGCTGCGTTCCCCTCTCCTTCGCCTTCACGTTATTTCTCTCTGGTGCAAATACCCTGACTGTTGTCGATCTCAAGCGGGCGCGCAATGGTTCCATCAAGGACATAGTCGACGCCGACCATGCGCGCGCAGCCTTCCTGGGTAGCGTTGGCAGTGAGCGCCCTACTACCATATCTACTACGCAGTACGCATACGAGGCGTACCTCGCCTCGGTGGGCGTTGGCAATCCTCCCACGTACTACAATCTCATCGTTGACACTGGGAGCTCGAACACGTGGGTAGGGTACGTCGCCTGCGGAGTCTGAGCGAAGCCTGCCAGTTAATTGTTCACCGGCGCCGTCACTAGCGCTAATGTGCCATACGTGAAGACAAGCACGAGTATCCCGACCGGTGAAGCAGTCAACGTCACCTACGGATCCGGAAATTTTACTGGCTACGAATGTGAGCATCACGTCTGAGTGTTGAAGGGAGGTGGCTACAGCTGTGCACTCACTCAGATTACGATGAGGTGACAATTGCCTCCGGTCTTGTTATCAAGAACCAATCAATTGCAGATGCGACTGAATATGCAGGATTTTAGTGAGTCGGTCCTAGAGCATGTTTCTACGATCTCTGACGTCAATGTCTACAGCGGTGTGGATGGCATTATTGGATTTGGACCTACCGACTTGACTCTAACATCGCTTACCGATTATCCGGACAAGACTATACCGACGGTCATGAACAATGCTTACGCACAAGGAATTATACCAGAGCAGGTTCTTGGTGTCTCATTTGCCCCTCCGAGTTCTAATGATTCAACAAGTTTGTACTCTTCGATCAGTTCCCGGACACCTGCTGATCAATACATTACAGATGGAAAGCTTACTCTTGGAGGCATTGACGACTCGCTCGTACGTCTTTCAGCATGTCTGGTGTTAGTATCTGCAAGTGACTTTGTTCTCAGTATATCGGTCCTTTGTTATGGACGCCGGTGACACAGACGGCCTTTGCTAGTCATTACTGGGGTGTGAACATCTCGGTGATGTACGGGTTCGAGGCGTTCACACCTGCCAGTCTCGCTGGAATCGTCGACACAGGCACCACATGTACGTTCTCTCTACGTGTCGCCGTCTTGCCTTGTGCTTACTTTTACACAGTGATATATTTCTGGGATTCCTGGTATGAGCTATATACCCAGTCGATCCCAGGAAGCTTTTACGACGCGACCTATACCGGATTGACTGCCATCCCCGAATCGGAAGTACCGTTCATGCAACCCATCACGGTTCTTGTGAGTGGGCAGCCGTTACTGTTCGATGCTGCTGCGCAGCTGGTCCCACCGGACGAGGTAGAAGGTGGCCAGGCTGGATACCGGTATAGCTTTATCCTTCCATTGGGTGACGTTCCCATTCCCGGATTCCAATTCGTTTTGGGCTTGAAGTTTATGGAGCGCTTCTATGCAGTATGTGGGATGCTCTTCGTTTCAGCGTGGGGTCTGAATGAACATCTCCTTGTTTACAGGTATTCGACACGGACCATAGCCGTGTTGGGTTCGGATATACGTATGTGTTCCTATTTCCAGCTTCTTTCAATGGCGTTAACGGTGGCGTTTCTTATCTTGTCTCGTCGATAGCGAACATACATTCAGCCAGACTGGTCTATGATGCTGATGGAGGAAAAATAGGTTCACATTATTGCTGAACATAAAGTGGGGCCTCAATGCTGCTGCTGTGCATTATGCTAATGTCTAGCCAGACTAATTTGTTCATGCGCTAATCTCTCTACATGACTTGTTCGCGATGTAGTAGGTATTTTATGGTCCACTATGATCTCGAGATGACAGATTGGCAACTACGCGCCTGCGGGATGCGTGCCCGTCACTTTCTTGTTCCACATGCTTTGCCTGTCATTCGGCATATTTTCTGAGCGTATGCGGCGAAAGCACGAAGTTGAAGGCTTGCGGCTGAATGTGCGCTTGTTTCACACGGAATATGTTACCGAGATCCCTCGAAGTCCTGCTGCGCAGACGCTGCTATGGCTTCAACGGAACACTCGTTTAGGTGATCCATTTCTGTTGTGTATACGGCGTGAGCCTTGTTTTTGTAATAATACTTGCAACATGTCGCTGTTGACTCATTGCTCACTGCTCAACAGGACGAATATGTTGTCGCGGCAATCAACCTGAAACATGATTCACTGATTCCCGACCCTTGCTTTGCAACGCAGCCTGTGCCACGGGTCCGCAGATCTCTTCCCGCCGTTATATGGTGCATCGCATTCCTATCCGATGGCCAGTGGTCATGTCATTGGGTATTGCAGTGCTCCAACGCAAACCAACGTTCGACCTAACCTGGCTAATATAGTCCGTCCCCGCACGATTTAGCTTTCAAGTTAAAGTAGTGGCTCATGAAATACCAGTAAGTAGTCGTCTCGTCGTTGACTTTGCTACGCCAAGGCGGGCGGGCTCCCACGTAGCATCAGTTCAGGACCAAAGTACTACTTAGCGCACTGCATTGAAGTCAACGCTGATGTTCATTATGCGAGCGCGCACTGGTACACTCTGGTATGCTCCTCTTCTTCCGCAAGCGAAGTCCCATTGTCCGTAATCTGTCTCGCCTTCAAAGGGTCGCAAGTTTTGTACAGCTTGCAGATCTGAGATTATGTTTCCCGCCGGATTATTCGGGACTATTTAATGGACTCACATGCCTCGACGCGTGCCTATCAGGGCTAGCACTGGTGTATTTACTCTGATTTCTGCAGCACCGACTTGAGATCGCTATAAGGAGAGGAGGCCTCATCCCCTCGCATCTGCTCAATCCACCCACTGCCAATTCCAGCTGCGGACATGCACCGCTGCCTTGCCATCTCCATTGTCGTCGCCGCTGCCTGTCTTTCTGGTGCACATGCCGCTATTTCCGTTGGCCTCACGCGGACACAGAACGGCTCTCTAAAGAACGTGGCCAAAGCGGATCAGGCACGCCGGGCATTGTTGAGCAGAGCCAACAGCGAGGGCGCAACAAGTCTTCCGATCGCGCAGTTAGGGTATGCAGCTTACACTGCCTCTATTGGAATTGGAAATCCTCCCACCTATTACAATCTCCTCGTGGACTCTGGAAGCTCAAACACATGGATAGGGTACGCCGCCTCTAGACATAACGTGTGAAAGCTTTGTGCTTATTGTGCATCGAACTCTGTACAGCGGTAACAAACCCTACGTTAAGACTAGCACCAGCGTTCCTACTGGAGAGGCCGTAAATGTGAGCAACGCCGGAGGCGCATTTGTCGGTAGCGAATGTAAGTATGGAGCATGTGGTAGGCTCTGGATGGTTGCTTAGATTTTATACCCTCAGACTATGACGAAGTAGCTCTTGCGCCTGGGCTTATCATTAGGAACCAATCCATTGCTGACGCAACTGGGGCTATGGCCCCACCGTGAGTAGGCTCACCGGTGACTCAAGTTACAATGACCGCTCATAAACGTGAATTCCTCAGGGGTGTGGACGGTATTATTGGCTTTGGTCCTGTCAACCTCACGTTGCAAACATTCGAGAACAACCCGATGCAGACCATTCCTACTGTGATGAACAATGCATATGCTCAAAAGATCATACCAGAACAGGTCTTGGGTGTATACTTCGCACCTGCCACCTCAAACTACTCGATGAGTCCGTATAACTAACATGTGCACCGCTCATGCTGACTCATTCATCTCATAGACGGACAGCTCACTTTTGGAGGCGTCGACGAGTCACTGGTACGTCATGCGCCTTTCTTCATGCGACACAATCAAGTCAATTCAACGATGTGTCCTTAGTGCGTTGGCCCCATTCATTGGACGCCAGTTACCACGACCAAATTCGCTGATCTATACTGGGGCGTGAACATCTCTGCCTCGTACGGGAGGAAGACGCTCATACCCGCCACGCACTCCGGGATCATTGACACTAGCAGCACATGTGCGTTCTCCCTGCTCATCACTGTGTCGTCCGCGTTGACCCCAAGGCAGTGACCGGTGTTTTGGATGCATGGTATGAGACATACATCAAGGCGATTCCGGGAAGCTTCTTCGACGCGAATGTCACCGGATTGACTGCTATCCCCGAGTCGTCAGTAAAGCACATGCACATGATCGCCATTTTCGTGGAGGGACAGCCACTGCTGTGGGACGTAGAGGCACAGCTGGCTCCGAAGAGCTTGGCCACGGAGCTGGGTGGCGAGTCTGGGTTCCGCTACAGCTATATTGTGCCGATAGGTACGGCGTTCTTACCGGGGATTGACTTTATATTGGGCATGAGTTTCATAGAGCGTTTCTACACGGTCAGTCCTTGTTTTGACCTGATGCCCCGTAGTGATGTCGAGCCGTTCTGGTTATAGGTACTCGATACAGATAACAGCCGGGTCGGGTTCGCATATACGTACGTCCAGTCTGTTTATTTCTTCCATCTGTCTTCATGCTCACAATGGTCGCTGGTGATACTCGGGAACAGCAATCATACGTTCAGTGCCCTCCTGTGACGATTGGCCTATGCTGCTCTAGCAACATTGTAGCCATCAAACTCTCCATTGCCCCTGTATTTATGCTGATAGGTTGCAACGCCCACCTGCTCACAGCACTGATGATATATTCTTGATGACATATTTTATATATGCTTAATGTAGTTGATACATTGTCCTCTGCTGTGAAGATAGTGCAACAGTACTGTACACTCACTCACTCAGTGACACATTTGCTGAACCCAGTGCTGATTTATAGTATCAAGAGCTGTGCCAGTAACTTGTAATGATATCTAGATGGTAAAACATTGAGGCTATTCTGTGAAAGAGAAATAAAACACTACAAGATCCCTGCTGGCAACCTTCAGCCTGACTAGGAGGAGGACAACTGGTCTTGTACTCAGATGTTTCAAGACTGGGCAACTGCACTTCTGTCAATGACTGCATTGAAATTGTGGGCTTTGGGGCAGAAGTGACTTATACTTGATCTAAGGGCCTATTTGGCATAAAAGTACAGTGTCCTGGGAACATGTACTTGTGCACACTTCTGCAATACTCATAAACATTGGCAAATGAACTAGATGCAGCTTATACTCACACCTTGTATAAGGCAATCATGTACATTAGGGAATGAAAATGTTGCAATGTTTGCAACAGTTGTATTGTTTGGCTTGTAGAATGGGAACTAGATGTGCTAATATAGTATTGAAGAGGACAATAAAACTATGAGTGTGGTTATGAGTAAGATAATGATTGTTACAGTCTGATGAGAGAGGGTTTTCTTTTCTTTTTCTTTCTTTGTCTTGACCCTGTACTATGTAACAACAGACAACACCTGTTAATCTATCTCTGTTTCATTCCTATCTATCTGTCATCATACTCATCACTGATTCATCTTAGTTGTCATCTACTCCACTTCTATCTGTTAGTTAATTGACTGTTAGTTGATTGATTCATCTTATCAACTGTTTCATCCCTATGTTTCACCTCAACAGAACTCTATCTATTTTCTGATTCCTTTCTCTATTTAAGATATATACTCCAGTGTTAAGCTTTGGTTTTGTCCTCTTGTTCCCTACATACATCTAATAGGGATATCTTGTTAATAGACACTAGCTTGTCTATTCAGTCCTTGCCTGCCTTAGCTCTGCATCAGTATCTAGCTTTCCTTAGTGTGTACTCTCAAACTTCCTTCAACTCAAGAAAGCTCAGCCTCAGTTGAACAAACCCCAAGTACAGTCTTCAGCATAAGACTCTGCATCTAGTCTTCAAATGCTAAGTAAAACTCCTGATTCTTAGTTGTTTAGGTCCCTAAACAATGATGCAATTGTTTGCACTTATTTATTGCACACTGTTATATAAAGCTGCAATAAACCAGGTTATTTTTGTCATAGTTTAAAACATATTTTCTTATTTCTATTCTATTTTTTATATCTCTTCTATAGTTATTGGAACATATCTTTACTTATCTATGCCATAAAAGAGCTGTCCTATTTTTATATAGATCAGTTCATATCATTGTAGCACATGATTCAAATCAGGTGACCTGCTATTACTAGCTGATATTATAGGTAGTACACTAATGGTTGATTAGCATAGCTGCACAGTGACTTAAGGCAGGGCCTTCCAGCATATTCCACACCTGACTTGTTTGTCAGCATGGGGTATCAGGAGTCTCTATGCAGTGCCATTGGTCTTAGAGCTCATGTATATAAACCTCTCTGTCTGAGCATCATCCCTGAAACTAAACTATTTTGTCTACCATCATCTGTGAGTGCATTTCATCCTTGTGTCACTACCCTCTACTCAACACTTCAAACCTTTTGTTTGTTAAATGAATAGTGAGATGCACCATAAATGTTAAGGGACCTAATGACTGAGGATCAGGAGTTTGACTTATAACTGATATTAGGACTTATACACATAAGGCTGACGTGCTATAACTGTACTAGACTTGTAAACTGAGCCACTGTAACTAACAGTGGTTTGAGAGCATATACTGATTGAAGCAAAGCTTCAGGCTAAGACTGAATAGACAACTGAGTCTATTACTGAAGATGTCCCTATGAAG